TATATATATATATTATTGTGTGCTATTGCATAATATGCACTGCCTGGCCAAAAAAAAGTCAAACACTCTAACATTTCATTGGACTGCCATTAGCTTTGATTATGGCACCCATTCACCGTGGCATAGTTTCGATAAGCTTATGCAATGTCACAACATTTACTTCCATCCAGAGATGCATTAGAGTGGCACTAAACACAGGTGTTACATCTTAAAAATACATTTAAGTACCTTAACTATTAACAAAAATGTATCTTATTTGTGTATCACTCACAGCAGTAGATCCTCAAATCATCTCTGAATTGGTGCTGACACTGTCCTTCCTTCTGGGGTGTGGCTACTGCTCTCCATGGTTCCCTTGTGTTGTAAAGCCCTCACTGCTTCAAGCTATCTCCTGTGATGGACTACAATCGCAATACAAATGAGTAAACTGAATGTTAGATTGTAGTCCATTACGGGAGCGAGCTTGGAGTGGTGGCTACTTTACAACACACACGGGAACCATGGAGAGCAGTAGCAACCCTCCAGAAGGAAGGACAGTGTCAGCATGCATTCAGAGAGGATTTGAGGATCTACAGCTGAGTGACACACAAATAGGATACATTGTTGTTAATAGTTAAGGTACTTAAATGCATTTTTAAGATTTAATTCTTGAATTTCGTGTCACTTTCGTTTTTCAGCGAGATCTTGTAGTGATGATAGGAGAGTCGGACCGCTGCATAAAGTCTTCTCCCGCAAATCCCAAAGATTCTCAATGGGGTTAAGGTCTGAACTCTGTGGTGGCTAATCCATGTGTGAAAATGATGTCTCATGCTCCCTGAACCATTCTTTCACAATATGAGCCTGATGAATTCCTGGCATTGTCATCTTGGAATATGTCTGTGCCATCAGGGAAGAAAAAAATCCATTGATGGAAAAACCTGGTCATTCAGTATATTCAGGTAGGCAGCTGACCTCATTTTTTGGGGGATATAACAGTGCTAAACCTAGACTATTTACTTAGCTAAATCCAATCAGTGTATTATATAATGACACAAATATAGCAATAAATCTACTCACAGATGGGGAAAGCCAAGGGGATTTGTGACTAGCACGCAGCATGATCCCAAAGACTCATCCTGTGTGATGACTGTCTCACAGTCATCTCTTTCAGAATATAGACTTCAAACGATCAGGGTTAATGATACAGTGCTGGGTCTGTGTTATCTTTACATGCACACTAGTTTTTGTGTTTTTTGGCTCAACAACCTCCCTAGTGGGGGTGCTATGGCTAAAGTTATGCCACTGCAAAGCAGTTATGTTTTATGCTGCTAAGAAATGAATAGTTACATTCACATAATAAAAACTTTATGTAATGGATGGACTGATATACCTTACTTACTGCACCTCGATACTCAGTACTCTTCTGTCTACAATAGTAATATGACTTGAATGATGCTGTATTTAAAATACAAACTTAAATAAGAATCTTGAATAAAAGAAACTAAAATAACAACTTGTTAAATAAAACTTATTAAAATACCTAAATAGATTAAAAACAATATTTGTACCTATATTTCCTAGGAAGGCTATTTAACCCCTTCGTGACTGACGACGTAGAGTGTACGTCGCCAGCATCGGGATTACATTAATTTGAATTGTCTATAATCTCCTGCACCCAGGTTCCTCAAAGGTGGGTGTACTGCTTCGTGTGCAGTGTAACGGCCTATCTTTGTGCTAGCTGCATCAACAATTAGATTCTGATTTGTAGGCAGGCTTGAGAGTGGATAGTGACTGCGAGAAACCTCTTAATAGAAGACACATTGATACCTCAGGCTTTTTGTATGTAAGACTTGCCAAGGAGCCTACAGTTGGTGTGTTTTTACCTTTACCGTTTTACCTGCACTAAAACCATACAAGCAACTTGAGTTTCCAGATCAACAGGTTACTGATGGGAGGGAATGGGGTGAACTAGTGCCCTATGACTGAGGGAAAACCCCTGAACTGTTAGTCTGTGCTTCTTGCTACTCAAAGTCTAGTTTTCTGGTGCTTGAGTTGAGCTTCACTTTATTAGTTATGTGTTTTTATGATGTGAACCTTTTTGTGCCTCCAGGAAAGACTGCCTTGTGAGTTCTTCAGTAAATGATAACACAGACAACGCCTCAAAGCCAGAAAAACCAAAAGCATGATATCTACACGTTTTCCTAGAAAATCACAGAACTGGCTGAATGAATGGACCATGGGAGCCCACAGTACAGAGGCATGGAACTACAGGAATAATTTTGAAAGAGAGATTTATAAGGAGGATGAGCACTTTCTCCATTGCATAGTAATTATTTTAACTTGCATAGCACAGTAAAATATTGCCTCCTCATAGATCGTACGAAAATGAGCAGTTATGCAATATAATTGGTTATATGTTATTGTATTGCTAAATAGAGGCATGTTGTTTCATGAATCTCCAAAGCAAAAGGTACAGTGTGCGTGAAAAAACACAAGTCTCTTTCTCTACTTTTTCTATGCATGGGGGGGTTGGGAATGAGTGTAAATATATATGTACATTTCTATATACTTATATTACGCACATGAGTGCATAAATGCAATGAATATAGGAGCATTTATGATGAACAAGACTCCTGCACTCTTGGACTGCTCACCTTGGCACTTGCTGCCTACCATAGGATACCTTACCATGCAACAGAAAGTCATTCAAACTGTCTTGGCCCTATAACTAATGGCTGTCTACACGTAAAATGACAGTCTCCACTGCAGTAACTGCCTGGGCATTCTTGCTGCTTTCTCTATGAATGTAATAAAAGCCTATTCTTTAATACAAGTTGTTCCTGTATCTAATAATTGCACATAATGATGGTAATGTTTAATAAAAATCACCTGACTGCTTCTGAACCCTCCTGGGAGTAATAGGAAAACCTACTAAGTCTTCTCAGTTTGATGGTCATGTTCTTTAGCTGGGCTACAGCCTTTTACTTTGAAATATTAGCACTCAGAGTTCCCTTAAATGAGCTAAAGAACCACATCTCTATGCGGTGCTGCTGGTTAAAATTGTAATCCTGGCTTCTGATCAAACAAAAGATTTAATTGTGTTCCTACATGGAGGTATTAGACTTAGGTGGAAATTTTGTTTGGCCTCAAAAAACACTTTAATAGAATGATGTGTATTTACTAGGACAAGATGAATTATTTATCATGAGTATTAGGGATGCATCGATACCGGTTTTACAGTATAGAATATGAGTACCGATATTTATATTTGGGTACTCGCCGATACCGAGTACTGATACTTCTGCTGGGCAGTGTGCCATTACCCGCCGCTGGATTCCAGATTGCCCGGGAATCCGGCTCCATGCTGTTTGGATGGCTTGATGCTGATTGGCTGGGAAGACAGCTTCCCAGCCAATCGGGAAGCCAGGCTGCGAGTTATTACCCGCCCCTCGGCTTCCTGATTGGCCGGGAAGCTGGCTCCATGTTCTCTCGCGGCATTACCGGTCAAATCTCCCTCTGACCGGAAGTTCCGATATCGGGGAAGGTATCGGAGCATTTGGGCAAGTACGAGTACTCAACCAAATAGTCGGTATCGGCACTGATACCGATACTAGTATTGGTGCACCCCTAATGAGTATACATGAAAAGTGAATGGAATGAATTCTGGCTCCGTAGGCGCCGATATAGTGTAGGCATTGTTTTTCAACTCCGTTCTTCTGTTACATCCAACAGGTCATGAGATCTTCTTCAGATGGAACAGCTGTAGTAAATAATGACACCAGATTTTATCTGGTTCAAGGAATAGTGAGAAATCACTAAGAACTTATGTGATTGATATTGCAGAGCTAAGAAACCATGTAGATGGGTTTATACAACCATTGTTTCCTGCTATTCTAGTATTAGTGGACAGATGACCATGTACCATCAGTGCTGAATCAACAGTACTGATATGAGAGCACTTGTGTAGTCATATACCACTGCAATAATCAACTGTGCCACGTTAACATCACTTATAATACTTTAAAAATATAGGGCCTATGAGAAATGTTTTCATCTAAACCTTCAGTTTTTATATATTTATTATCAATATTTTAGTTAATATTTGTTATTAATATTTTTGATTGTAATGCATTACATTGTTTTAAATATATCCTGCTATGCAAAACTTTTCAGTCCTGTCAAAAGTTCATTTTGTGAAGACAGAAGGGGGGTTACAGAAGCTGCATGTTTAAGCTAAACCTCCAGTTTTTCCTTCTCCGTTCCCCTTCCTCATCTCATGATGTGTGCGTGTATTAAGTTCACACCCAGGGCTAACTGGGAATCCATATACACTTTCTGCTGTTCAGCATGATGGAGATAAAAAGGGATTACATCCAACAGGACTTTTCCACAGTTATAGCGAGCATTGGGAAATATTTGGGCTTTTTGAGGAGCAAATGAGTGTGGAATCCATTGATTCATTTGTATTAGAGCTGTTCACATTTAATGTGATTTCTTTCTGCTTGGCTGCGTACACATTATCATGTAGGGTGTTTAATTTGCATGATAAATTAGCCAACTATTGCAATGTTTTCCTCATATGTGAATATTTGACCAGTTTTTGCTCTTTAGAACGTCTATAGACCTACGTGTACCCTTGGAAGTATCTTGAAATATGGTTTTTACTTTTGTGTTTGGAAGGCAAACCAAATTCCAGTCTATAAACAAAAAACATAGTAATAATTCCATGAAACCCTATCTCTTGAAAATTATTTTCTAATTTCTAAGGTAAACCTAGAGCAGAAGCTCTAGAGAGGTAGCAGGGGGAGCTAAACTACTAGGAGAATGTTTTCAATAACTTTAGTGCATCTGCTGTGAAATTTGAGGATGAATTGCTCCACAGTGCCTACAGCTACAGAGTTTACTATTGGCTTGTTTTAAAGCTTTTTAACTTCTTGTTAGGAATATACAAATACTTAAAAGAGAACTATGGGGTAAGTGTTTTTCCTCATAGTTCTCTTAAGGGGTCACGGGAGGACATATACTAGTGTCCTCCCGTGACCCAAAGCTCAGTATATCGCAAGCTACAGATCGCGGTATACTGCTGCCGCAGCCGGGACGGATCCCGACATTACTGTGGAGATCCACCCAGCTGCGTGAGTGACAGGTGGCTCTGCCTATCTAGAGGCAGAGCCAGCTATACCCGCCTCCTCCCCCGTCCATTCCTGCAGTCAGCGCTGGAGGATCGGAGAGGGGAGTGGGGGAATCCCTGCAAGAAGCCGTGACTAACAGTCACCGCTCTATGCAGGGAGATGATCGAGAAGTGAGCGAGCAACGGTATGTGTTCACTACCTGATCTATTGAGCTGACGTGTGACAGTTTCATTGTCACAAGTCGGCTCGAACTATGAGGATGAGTGATTTTCACTCACCTCATAGTTCTCCTTTTAAATGTCCATAGCCTGGGTAAGCATTCACTGTAGCTTAAAAATCTAAAGTCTGGCTGTCTAACAGGTTTTCATTAGCACAGTTTACTATAACAAAGAAACCAGTAGAAAATGTATCCCTAGCATATATTAGTATGTAATACCTGACTTAAAGCAGCAAAGCACTTTTATACATGTGATAGTGCCTAGGTACACTCTGTTAGTCTCACAAGAGCCAATCAGGAGTTTGATAGGCATACCCCATCCACTCCTGCTTGTACTGGATTACATTGATAGTGTAATCAAGAAGAGCTGTTCCAAATAGATACTGCAGGTGATGAAAAAGTGTGCCTGGACTTGAGCAGCTGCAGAATCCTCAGTGTAAGTGCTAAATCATTCACAACTGACTTGTCTCAGACGGTTTGCAGGACAAGCTTGCCTGAGTCTAGGTCAACTGTAAGCATCAAACAATTCGGTTCCTTATTATAATATTGGCAATATTAAGAAAATACTGAATAACACAATCATTTATTATATTACATCCTTATTCAATATACAAAATCTAAAATACATTATTTACATCTGAGGATCCACACTGGATGACAATCAGCATTATTCAACCTGAAGGTTTCAAGCTGTGCACATATAGTCTTTGTAAATTGCTTAGTACATCTATGTTAAAAAATAAAAATTGAATGTAGTAAAGTGAAGTGACTTTCTGTTGGAGTTTGATTTACCGCACTCGGCAAATAACAGACAAATTATATGTTGCAGGGCATATATTTATCTTAATGAATTAAAAAAATACAAATCAGCTTCAACTTTCAAAGGCACTTCACAGAATATTTACTGAGTGGTGTATTTTTCCATCTTTTTTTATGTTTGTTCCTTCTATACATGGCATACACCATATTTAGGAGAATGGTAAAGACATCTGCAACTGACCAGTTTTCATGAATACTGTAATTAAGTGACACCACCACGGTATAATTTCCATAGCTCTTAACGGTACCTCCATACTATCTAAGCAAATTGAAGATGGCGACTGTTGTAAACAGGTTTTTGTAGTATATGATAAAATTCAACATGAACATATAACAAAATCTTAATTACATGTCATAAAACTATTTTCTATTGCACAGTTTAGTCTAATGTGGGTCAAGATGGCATCAGTGATCTCACCCATGCCTTATACATGTAAAGATCTGAAGAAACTTCACACTCTGGACCTGCAGAGCATAAAACTGTGATACGGCACCCTATTAGAGACCTCTGTTTGCACATTGTGGTTCTCCAGCTGCATGTTCCATCATCTTTGCAGGTGAAGGGTAGAGGTAATAAATAAAGTTGATCCTGTCAATCGTAGGAGCTACAATCCCGCCTGAAAAATAAAACACAAAGTTCCTTATCAAACATGTTAAATAATTACTGGCAGCAGTAAAATGACCTTCATTAAGTAGCTAATAGCCAAAGCAAGGTTTACAATTACAACATAAGTTCTTATCTGGGGGCTTATTTATTAAAGCTGAACTCAAGGCAACCAGCTACAGTAAATATACACAGTTGAAACACTTATATTGGAGCTGTCTTACCTGCCAAAGGATTTTATTTCCATTGGTCCATTCCTGACATGTACACAGCCCTACCATGCAGCACAGACAAGCTGATCATTTGGCTTTCCCTACTGAGGTAAAGCAGCACAAGTCTGTCACTTCCTTGCCTCCAGTCTATTACTGGACAATGAAGGAGCAGTAACATACTGGTGAGGTTATCTCTTTGCACTCTGCTCCCCTCAGCATGGTCTTTGCTAGCAGATGTGAATGCAGGGCACCCGAAAGGCCCCACCTACTGACCCTCCCTTTCCCAGCATAGTTTGGATTGCAAGAGACAGAGATATAGTCAAATGTAGGTATTTATACTGTTTACATTTAAAATGCATTGACTTATTTTTTTTATAAATACAGAACTACATTCATTGTTGTTTTTTTCTTTGGTATCGGAATGAAGTTCAGCTTTAAAATCAGGGAAAAAGTAGCACTAAAGTGCTGTTGTTGCTCATATTGGCCCACCAGAGTTCTATTTTTCCATACAATACAAGGTGACACTTGACTTGGAGCAGCTGTAGGCATTTTCTGTTCTACATTTTATTGAAGCAGCCCTACAGTTTTATATAACTTTGTGACATAATTGTCATTATGCTTTACTACCACAAACACTTGTATACATCACAAGGACACCACAACTGCTTAAAATAAATTACCTTCATCGTGCTTGTAACCCATGGTAAAAATGATGCGAGTCTAGTGTATACCCCAACTTTTCCTGGTCGTCCACACCCATCTCCCCAACTCACAATGCCATTTTGTTGCCAGAAGGAGTTGGGGCCCAGTGACACCAATGGGCCACCACTGTCACCCTGGGAAAAAAAAGATAACATTTAGATAAACTTCTAAATCTTTTCCTAATGTGAATTTTCAAAAGTGAGTTGTAACAGACTATGGCACTGTGCCTGTTTTTTTATTTTATTTTTGTATATGTAGTACCATAGCCAAGTAATCAGTTATAGAACTTCAATTGGTTGGCTTATATGATTTAAATCTCTGGCACTTTTACCGATTAGAGCACTTTTGATCTGGATACTGACAGACTCATAGGAAAAATGTGATACTAAATTTAACCAGCTAAATATTGCTTGTCCAAGCACTTTTTGCTAATTACAAGAATTGCTTTTAATGTATGTTTTTAATTTGAATTGTTTATGTTGAACTATTGCTTGTAAACATGAAATCCATTAATTTGTACATACATGTTAAAATAAAGATACATTTTACAAAGTACGAACAAGTGCAGTAGAAACATTGCATACATCTTTCATCTTTATAGCCTCCATACAGGAATAAAGTACAATGTGACCCATATTAAGTTAAAAAAATGCAGCTACAGTATTATATTAACAGCAGGTGTTTTGGAGAGAGCGCACAGTGCTCATATTTAATCTAGTAGTAAAAAAAAGACAGTGAGGTGAAGCTTACTGATATCCCTATTCGTCTGAGGTTGATTAACACAATTTTCCCAAAGAGATAATCCTTTACCGAATTCTAAAATGTTCTGCTACAACTGTATTTTACAATAAAGAGAAATACATCTTCTTCAGGTTTGCACGCTTAAGGCAGTTATAAGTTGATGGTAATATTATAAAAAAAGACCAAAGACCGTATGCTACATTTCATGGGTGTAATTTGTACAAGTTCTTAAAGAAATCTTAAAACAAAGTACCTGCAAAGAATATACTATTATACTTACCTCTCCAGTGGCCTGTTTCTCTTAACTTCGCTCTGCTGAAGTGCTATAGCCTATGCCAAATGATTCACCATTTCAAGGAGAGTCAGATGCCAGTGCCCCCTGCTCCATGCACTATGATTTTAACCTCCGGCCCCCATATCACTATGGGACTCATTGGTGATGAAGAGGTTGAAGGTGGAACGACAGCATTATGGGCAGAGCCGTACGTATTGTTTCTTTCCCCCATGGGCCAACTGCATATTCAGAATTGCTGGTTTACAGCACACATAAACCCCAAAGTGCATACAGCTGTTTCAGATCTTTTGGGCATCACTAGTCGAAACCATAGTTAATGGAAAAGGACTTGGGGGCAAATAAGAAAATAGACTAAGTTTATGTATAGCCAAACTTTAATTTGTTCTACTTTGGATAGAGTAGGAAAGGGTTAAAACTCAGTTTATTATTTGCTGTTTGTGTCCTGTTGTGGGCATTTCCTTTCATGGAGACTCAACAGGAAGTGAAGAGGAATCTCCCCAAATTGAGAGGAATTCCCATCGTAGACAGTTGACATGAGAACATTTGGTGACAAATAGAGGGTTGAATCTCCCAGGTGGAAACACAAACAGCAATTAAACTTGTCAGGGATCCTAACCCATAAGAATCTAAAAAGTCTTTCGCTGTGGTCTGGTCAACAAGAATATGCTAAAAAACAACCCCATTACAACAAGTGGACTGACTAGAGGAAGGTTTGCTAAGTGATGACAGCACTTGTTATATAGTATCTAAAAAAGCTTTGTCAGCCACTTCCCAAAGATCATCACAAATAATAAAATCAACTTGTATATTGGGAAAATGTGTTGCTATTTGGAGTGTTTTTGTAAGTGTTTATCATGATTGGCTATGATAGAAATTATGGCTCAGAGTGGAACATATGAAAAGTGCAGTCCCTGTACAGTCCTTTGACTGCGCAGATCATTTTAATCTTTAACGTGGTTGGGCGCTTAGTCATCAGTTTAAACTCTATTTTAAAAAAAAGCAGTGCATACAGAAACCACTGACCACCCTCCAGATGCCGATCAGTGGTTTCTGTAGGTGCTACCTTGAAATTAACCTTATTGTAGAGAAAATATAGCATGCAATCCACAATAATGTAGTTCTCTGAAAATGTAATTTAATGTTTGAGGTTCAATGCCAAGTCTCTGAATACTGTGATTTTAAGTAAGCTGGCAGTGCTTCAAAAATCCATTATTAAAGAGAAGCACAGAATACCTTTGACTATAGCTCACTGGGGTTATGTTAAATGAAGGTTTTTTTGGAAATCCAAACTCTTAGTAATTCTGAATTCTTCAACAATGGATATGCACTATTCAATTTAATTACATTATTTCATAGTAGCCTAGTAAAGAAAGGAGAACTTGTCTAACTTTTGTTATAGCCTCATATATATACGCCAAGAAACCAATGTAACATAATCAAATGCTCTTGATGGATTTACTGTATAGAGAATAATGTCACTAAGTAGCATCGGTATTTTATGTTTTTTATGCAAGTTGGTTATTGTATCAGTTTCTCTATACTTTAAAAACATTTTTAACCAATATACTGTTTTTAGCAAGGTACCTGGCAGGTGTCTAGTCCACCTGAAAGTCGACCAGCACACATCATGGAGTCCAAGATCTGGCCAAAGTACTCATTGTTACATATGTCATTGGAGATCACTGAAACACTTACTTCCTGAAGTGTGGAGGCCAAGGAACCTGTAAATGGGTACAGTGTCTTAAGATGTCAATAAATACAGACCTAAATCACATATATGAAGATTTAAAAACTACAGGTAAACAAAAGCAAATGTAAGTGAAAATGAAAGGTAATGACATATGTCACAGACATATGAAAGGTAATGAGAATTACTCTAATAATGGTGGAGGGTATCAACAGTTAGATAATCCATTATCACTAATACACTGAAAGCAACAATACAAATTGACCCATGGATTTCAGGACTTTGATAAAGTGTATGTATCGGCAAAACATATTTTTTAGTTTTTGGATAGATTAGGGAAGGGTTAATACCATTGACAGATTTTTTTTTTTCCGTTGTTGAGTACCATTGGGGAAATTTCCCTTTATGTCCTGTCTCAGAAATACAACAGGGACAGTTAGAAGAATTTCCCTTTTAGGCATTTGTCCCTGGAACCAGTGTACCCATTGGAAGATTTCCCTTTTGTTCTGTGGATACCTCCAACATTTTGGATTTCCCCTCACTTTTTTTCTCAGTGACAATGGTCACCAGTACAAGGAAAATGGGATACAGACAGCAATAATAACTTTACAGTGTCTGACACTTATCCACTTTGTCCAAAACAAACAAACAAACAAACAAAAAAAAGGTTTGCCTAGAGATAGTGCCATCCTGTGATCCTCAGTGTAAGAAAGGATGTACAAACCAATATTTGGCTGCCATGTTTTAACACAATGTTATTTAGTTTAAAAAAATAAACCTTTTATGTTTAACCTTCCATACTTTTTTAACTGAGAATTCAAACACCACCCTGCCCAAATACATACACCAATCAGCTCTTGAACAACTTCAGTGCTTCTGCTGTTAAATTTAAGAATAGTTATAGCCCCTCTATTCCTATAAACTCTAACTTGTTGAATGAAAAAGCAGTAGTACTATGCCCAAAGGAAAGTATTGCGGTAAGGGGCAGTAGATCAATTTTTATGCCACTTTCATGAAACCTAAAATGCAACAAAAAGTGAAAGTATTCAGAATAATTGCACTTACCTCCTTCCACAGTGTGTCCCCAGCCTGTAACTGATAAAGAGGCACCTGCTTGCAAATTGCTATCAAACCCCGGAAGACAAATAGGCTGCACAGTAGCTGAGATAAGAAGAAGAAAATAAATGTGATCTTACTAAAACAACCACAAAAGGAAAGCTTCAAAATAACTGTACTTTAGTACTTTAGCTCTTCTATATTATATCTTGTAAAAACAGCTTTGCAGATATGAACTATAACCTCTGCATTTCTTTTGCTGTGCATTAAGAGTTGTCATCAGAGGCTCGGGCCATTGTAAACATTGCTCTGTTTAAAGTCAGCTGGTCTTTATTTACACTGGAACTGCAGACAAGGCATAAGAACAAGTAAGGTGTCTGCTTCACTTTTGATGTTTCACTTTTGATTCTAGCTGTTTGTGATCTCCACTGGTTATATGAGTGCGTTGCAGCATATAAATAATCATTTATGGCTCTAGTCAGTGAAGACATTGGGGTTGATTTCCTAACGGCAGATAAGGCATTTGCACTTTGCAGGTGATGTTTCCCTTAGCTTGGTGAATGTGGTGAAATTTCACTTAGCAAAGAATACCCAATCACATGCAAGGAAAAACAGTATTGTTGGTTAAACATGTTTAGAAGATGAAAGCCAGCAGAGCTTCACCTCATTCACTAAACTAAGGGGAAACTACTCCTGTAGGGTGCACATTCCCTTGCAAAGTGAACAGCCAATTTGCCTTTAAGAAATCAACTCCATTAAATTAAACATGAATGTTTAGCAATGCCTTCATTGTTCGCACTACCTATATGCAGTTACAGTGTAGATGTAGAGAGGTTGAATGTAAACAGAGCAATATTTACACTGGTCTGGGTCTAAACTGATAACTCTAAAAGCATACACATAAGGTGAAGATAATAATCAGCATTATTTGTTTAGTTTATTGAGATCCCTGCATATATTGAACTAGGTAGGGTATTTCAAAGGTACAGTTATAGGTTAATTTGCCTGTACAAATGCAAGCTTGGCCATGTAATCTAAGGCAGTTGGATCAGTCCTATTCATGGAAATGGCCAGCACCCAAATATTGTGCTGTGGTTGTACAAGAACACCATAAATGCCTCAGCATGGCCATTTAAGTTCATATCATCCATCCTTTGTATCTGAAAAAAGTTAGGGAAGGTTCTTACACAGACTGATTATTGAAAACATAGGGCGTGAAACATCCTTACATGCATGGGTTTAAGTATGTAAACATATTTTTTATTGTATGCAATGTTACTTACAGTGGTTAGAAAAACCTAATTTGTACATAGCAATAGGTCTCTACATTTTTTTAAACCTTCCCTTTATGTATTTTGGTGACTATTATACAGTATGTCAGCATTATGCTGGTTCAAGTGTAGCTCCAGGCTAGAATGGGGGAGGCTTGGAACATCTACAAGGTTTTTACTACTTTTGGATTTGGTGTAGACACACAGTCTGCATTTGCCCTATTGATGCCTGGGATTCTGGTGTGTTGCTTTACATTTATGGAGAACATATCTGTATTGCCACTCAGTAACTATCACATTGTTATTCCACAAAGAGAGGTTCTAATTTTGGTCCTAATATAGACCTGTGTGGTCACTGTTTTCCTCTCAGTCCATACACATTTAATCCTATGTTTGAGCTGATGAGGGGGGAGTGGATTTTCCCCCAAAATTGTTGCACCATTTTTATAAACTATTTCACCAATTATAATTATCTTGCACTGTTTCATCCATTTTTTGTTTTGCACTTGTCTGCATTTCTGTGGTTGAAGGTACCCATTGAGGGAAGCCTTGCTGTGTAAGAACTTGTTTAAAGTTGTCCTTTCCTGTTTGCAAGTACAGGTTTAGAAGTTCCTAGCTCTTTATTAAATACATCTTTATGGAGAAAATGACTCCCTCTAGCTGGGGACTCTGGTAGTTTTCAGTTAGGGACCACACATTAGAGTGTGGCTTCACATGTATTTGCAAATGAATGCTACAAAAACCTATGTTTTTAGTTTTTTTGCTAGCTAGCCTCAAAGTGTGCCAGGGAACTATTGTAAGGTTTTTTACTGCTGTCTGCTGTTGACACAGTAGGTTGTGGAAAGCTCCCCCAACAAAAGGGGAATCCCACCTCTGGCCATTGTCACTGGAGCAGGTGTCCCCTCTGGAAGATTTCCCCTCACCTCCTGTTCTTATGACAACTCTTAAATGTTGGATTTCCTATCATTGTGCATCTCGGTGACAATAATGGTCAGCAAGACAAATTAAAAGATGAATCTACCTAGTGGGGGCACAGACCATAATAAAAACTTGATAGAGGGTCTAACTGTTCCACACTCTATCCAAAACTAAACAAATGATTAGTACCTGAGAAGCTGAGTTCACTCTTCAGCCTAAGTATGGCGATATCATTTGGCTTCGAAACTAAATTGTATGATGTGGGAATGTAGATCTTGTCCACCTGTGAGGCAAAGGTGTATGTAAGACGCGAATGTCCAATCTCAACACGCCATCTATTCACCTGTTGCTGTCCCCTAGATAGAACACACGTTTCTGAATAACAGTATTTATAGGCAACATTAAGATCATGGTACTAATGGTTAAGTATGACACATATGTATATAGACAAGTCACTTACTGTGGGAAGCAGTGCGCAGCACAAAGGATAAAGGATGGGGTGATTATACTGCCCCCACACGAATGCTGCCCCATGTACTGAAGGCTGACCTGCCATGGTGAGTTCTCAATTGAGGTATCGTGGCCACCAATAATTCGTTCTTTTCTACGGTTGATGCCACAATCTAGAAAGGCCAATCGAATATGGAGAGTAAGCAAAAAAAAAACACAACAAGGGGTTTGTGGTTATTTTACAGCACAGTGAGAACTGCATATTGTTATATCAGTGTTTCTAACATGCCTACTGGCTGCTCTACTTTGTTACTTGCACAGAACTTACACAACCATTCTTTAAGGCATTTCTACATTTCTATGGAAATTATGGAGTACATGTAGTACATTATTTTTGCTTAGTTAGCTATTATACGTTATTTAGCAATCTAGTTAGTTAATTTGTTGGTTAATCTTCAGTGCTGCTTGCTTCGTGTCCAGCACTGCTGATTCCAGAAGAGGATTTATAAAGAAGTGATTCGTGGTGCTACAGGTGGTTCATCCTAACCTGTCACTGGATGTGAACTCTTCTAAATCACATGATCGAGCATACTTTTATAGCTCTGTGGTGGTAAACTCTGATGTTAAAGCATATGTAAACCCCCAAACAAGAATGTAATATATGGCAGTTTACAATTCCTTAGATTAGATGGCTACATTTGTTTTCTTTTATGGTATTGGCTATTTCCCCTTAATTTTCACCTGGTAATACTTTGAACAACATACTTCCTGTTCTGGGGTGACGTCTACTCCTCCCCAGTATCTATGGAGGCAGCCGTGGTTGCCACCCAGGCTGGACTACAATTATATCTGCCATTGTTCATCTCTATTGCATGTGGCATAGGGAGATTGGTACTTTTCAGAAGAATGATAACATTGCTTTTCTTTCACTTCTGTTCACAGAACATTGCATTTCTGACAAGATTTACAGATATTTTCTGTACTTGATGAAAATGTTCTTAGCCTGAAAAAGGAAAACGAATGTGGGGCTTGGTGCAAAGGCAGTTCATTTGAGTTTGCCCAAGCCCACTCAAACATGTGACTGACAAATTTCCCTCCCAGTGTAACCGGTAGTTCAGCTGTGGCATGGGCATTCCCCGCCCCTTTGTGACATGTAGCTGTGATGCGGGCAATGCGCCTGCCACAACTGATTGCAGGGGGGTTAGGGGGGTTAGTAGGTCACAGGTTTTTTTTAGCGCACTGGTAAACTGCACTATATTACAATTTCTTCTTGGATTTAGCCATCCTGCAAACTAGAAGTGAAGTGATGCACACCTTTTTGCCATTAGATTAGCTTGATTAGTGAGTGCCCTGGGAGTATTGCATGCAGGTGGGAGACCCTTGACCTGGCTTCCACCAGCATCACATGACTGGTCCATCACTGTAATGAGTAGATTCACTAGCAAATAGTTATGTGTTGGAGGTGGTAGGGAGGGAAGACAGGTTTTCAGTTAAAGAATCTGGTTGAACTTTGCATACCAGAGTGATCTGAGATTTGGCGCTCCTGGAGCACTCAATAAGCAGATACTCAGATGGGTTCCTGCTAAGCTAACCTGCTTTTATTAACTTTTCTTTACTTCAGGTTTCACTGGAACTCCAAAACACAAAAAGACCATAATCATTTGATGAGCTGTATTGCTCTGGTAAGGTTGCCCTTGTGGAGCAAGGCTCCCCTTCGGTGGAATTTAAAAGCAGAACATCATTAGGAATTATTATCTTTTTAAAATGTACTTTTAAAAACTGTATATATTTATTTATTATTTTGTTCCTTAGTTCTCCAATAACTTGCACTGCTTACTGGCTTTGAAAGAACAGACACAGGAAGAATTATTTACTGTCCTGAATAGGGATGAGCCGAGTGTTTGATTCGAACATGCGTTCGAATCGAACATCGGCAGTTCGAGCGCTCGCCGAACGCCGAACTTTATGGGGATGTTCGTGGTTTGTTCGACCGCGGACATTCCATAATGCAAAATGCCCACTGAAGCTCTGATTTGTTAAAGTCTTGCACCTGACCAGAGGTCAGGTGCAAGACTTTGCCCAATCAGGGCTCAGCAGAGGAGGGGCCTGAAGGAGAAAGTTCTCTATCAGGTCCCCATGCTGATTGACAGCAGGCAGTCGGCGGGTGCAATAGCCAGCTTGCTATTGGTTATTGCATTTTACAATATCCAATAGCAGACTGGGTATGGCTCCCAGCCTGCAATGAAGAGGAGGCAGGGGGCGGGGCAGAGGAGCCGCAGCAGGACCGGATCGGAGAAGAAGCAGACGGACCAAGGGACCGGAGGCCGGGTCAGCAGCGGAGGTACGGGGGGCAGCGAAGGCATGCATCGGTCTGTGTCCCCACTGTCTCCGCCAACACAGGCGCGGAGAGCAGCGGGGATTTGAAGGGACACAGGCCACTGCAGCCACAGCTCTCGTAAATGTACCGGTAGCTGCCGGTACATTAAGGAGAACTGTGGACCCGGTTCGTAAGTACGGATTGTCCGAAACCGGGGACTGCCTGTATAAGCGCTCTTAAAGGGGACATTCATTTTCAAACGTTTGACCCCCATTCACTTGCATTGAGTTCGAGTTCGTATTCAAACTTTTCGGCCACTCGAATACGAACCGAACACGGGGGTGTTAGGCTCATCACTAGTCCTGAATAAAATTTTTAAAGCTGAACTCCAGCTAGACCGATTCATGCATTTACTATATATTTATTTTTCAAATTCAAATTTAGTTTCAAATGCAAGTAGCATAAGTCCTTGAATTTGCAATAATATCACCCTCCTGTTTCCTGTCTGCGGCAGATGAGTGAGGGAAGGCCAGCAGTAGGAACCAAACAAGTTCTGGTGCAGTGCTTATGTGTTAAAGGAGAACTATGGGGTCAGGGCTTTTCCCCATAGTTCTCATTAGGGTAACGGGAGGACACAAACTAGCGTCCTCCCGTTACCCTAGGCTCAGTATACCGCGAGCTACAGGTCGCGGTATACTGAGATGCCGCAGCTGAAGCGGATCCCGACAATTGTTCCGGGATCCGCCCAGCTGCGTAAGTGACAGCTGGCTCTGCCTATCTAGAGGCAGAGCCAGCTGTACCCGCCCCCTCCCCGTCCGTTCCGCCAGTCAGCGCTGGCGGATCGGAGCGGGGAGAGGGGAATCCAGCCCCTCCCCTGTCACGGCAGAGAGCCGTGACAGGATCGAGAGGTGAGCGAACGCTGGTATGTGTTCGCTCACCTCTCGATCTACTCAGCCGACCTGTGACAGTCTCATTGTCACAGGTCGGCTAGAACTATGAGGTGAGTGAAAAGCACTCACCTCATAGTTCTCCTTTAACAGTGAATATGCTAACAAGAGGAGAAAGCGGAGTGATGACTCATTGTGCTGCTATCCGTTCATTGTGCTGCAGCTGCAATCAAGGTTGAGGATATAGCTGTGTTGTCTGCAAGGATGATTAGGTCAAAGGACTGCCAGCACAGAATTACAAATTCTGCAGGGCCTTTCGATCAGCAAGTCTCCTTATAGGGGAACTCCAAGTGAATGTAACTTTCATATATGTGCCCAGTTTCCTCCCACCTCTAAAAGCATATTTTATGGAATATTTTACAATATTGAGCATTCAGTCTACTATTATTTTTTTAGATATGAATAATAATAAATACTTACCTATGCACCTCAGGGATATAACAGTGCCAGACGTACAAGCACTTTTGGGAGATAGAATACAAAAAAATGGTAATTAGTAACATTTTACTTTTATTAAACTTTAAAATAGTAATATACACCAAATGATAAACAACAACAATAACAACAATATACACCTAATGATAAACAACAACAATATACACCTAATGATAAATGAATTTGACACTGAAAGTGGCCAAGTCCCACGAATATGCTGTGACATTTACTGCGTGTTTCTTTCAGCCAGGTACACATTCATGCTGGATGCTATGCTGTGGCTACATTATGCAAATTATTTTTATCGTTTTCATTTCAGGAACAACTTGGCAACATTGTTGATTTAGTTTGTAAATAGAAGTGAATAAATGAAAGAATTTTCCGGCAGAAATTCTTTACTTACTGCTACTTATTGTAAATAATATCGTGTTTGAATTTTTTAATTTAGAACAATTTATATGTGAAAACAAAAATAAAGAAATTGCAGTCTGATATTATTTATGACAATCTGACCATGAACAACTCGATTGTTATAAGTGGTTGTGCCTGATATGGCTATTAAAATACCTAAATATGCTCAAATCTAGTTTCTGCTAGTTGCTTTGTGATAGCATTTTGTATATGCTGTAATGCAATGTTTCACAACCTTTTTTCAGTCACTGCACTCTTTAAAAGTATGCAAAATCTTGAGGTGCCCCAGTATAAAATGTAAAACTATGGACTTTAAGGGGGGACCCCATGCAAGACCACATGAAAAAGGGGTTCCCCTTCACATTAGAATCCCCCTTTCACATCCGAATTTTGCCTTTTACATCAGGGGGGAGTCCCCCCTTTACATTAGGAGCCCCACTTCACATCAGAAGCCCGTGGAAAGGGATTATGCTGCTTGCTAGCAGTAGATATATGCAAAAAAAAACGGAGGGTTTAGAAACCCTTTAAGTACAGGTCTCCTTTAAGGGTACATGTAGGCTGTTACTACTGACCTTCCAGGAATAAATTGCTCCTTCCACAGAAGAAGATAGATACAGTATTCACGTCTCATGCTGCCTGCCAACCCCATACATTACTGTAGGACACTGTGAAGGTGTAGGATCCAGTGGCAGAACCACTGAGAGCAGCAGGACCAGGAATCCAGCACTCCTGGAAGTGTCAGATACTGAAGATTCTTCAGTGGGAGATTTCTCCCTACTACTGCAGCAATTTGAGCAGCAGGAGATGTGACTATCTAACGTCTTTGCAGAGAGCCCATTATTCCAGATATTATTGTTAGCTTTATGCATTTTAAAAAAAAATATGCTTCCTCAACCTCCTTCATGCTATCGATAACCTTTTTTAAAATGTTATTTTCTAAATTACTCTAAAGACTTGAAGTGGTTTATTTATATAAAAACTTGCATAGCTATTTGTCTAGCGAAACTGCATGTACATTCTTTCTGTGTTGTGACAATGGGGCAAAATCAGATGTTCTCAGGCTGTTTCCTTTTCTGGTTAAATGTTTTTCGACTATTATGTGCATCAGTGAATTGGGAAAATTACATTATGAGCACTAAGTGGAGCCGAAGATCATGTGAAATAAATACATCTTAGTAACAAGAGATACAATGTAACAATTCTACAGAATGCTGGTGGGAATGAGCAGATAAATGTAACCATTGCTACTACAAGGCTCCAAATAACTATGCAATTTTTTTTTCAATAAATAGACCCAAAAGTGTATGTAAATGTTTTTGTCAGTTTGGGATAGAGTTAGATACAGTTAAGATGCCTGTGAGGTTTTTTTTTTGTTTTCTTTGCATGTGTCTATAACTCATCTGGGAGATTTCCCTTTACTTCCTGTTCCAGGGACACATGGAAGTAAGAGGGGATCTCTTCACAGTGAGAGGCTATCCCCTATTAGATAGTTGTGACCCCAACAGCTTTCTCCATTCGAAGATTTCCCTTACTACCAGTTTCTGTGAAACTCTAAAATTTGGGGGTTTCCATCTGTTTCTGAACTGGACAAAATGGTCACCAGGGGTGAATCTTCCCAATAGTGGGACACAGATAGCAAAAAAAAACCCCCAACCGAAGTTCTAACCCTTCTAAACTCTATCCACAAAAGAGTTTGGGCTTTACATACACTTCAGCAGCATGTTAAGGTTGCGGTAAAAACATAGCAACGAAAGCTACATTTTAATAATGCACATTATATATTTTTTACAATAAGTGAATCCATTTGATGAGCAGTGACCAGGTTACTTACCCAGTGGGAATCACCAGAAACCCGCGGTCATTTAGCAGAATGTTACTGAATTGTCCATTTTGTGTTGAAGCATTCACACTGGAAAATGAGGGCTTACTAAACATGGTAAAGACAGGGGATTAAGTTATTGCCAATTTATTTATATTTTTGTTTAAAAACATGAAGCATAGTGAAGTATTTATACAATATACATAGGAAAAAAGAATGATTTTATTGGGATTATACAGAGCTATATTTACCATAGTGGCACTTGGCATGGTTACAGGAGGCAACTCCAAACCCTAAAATGTACACGTTGTGACTTTCTTTTTTCCGTATACCTCTTGTGCCCATCTTTGAAAATTCTTAGCTAAAATCAGCAATAGAACTATATGGGAAAAGGGGGTGCAGAGGTTCTTTATTGTTCAGGAAACACAACACTATCTACCATATTTCAATTCTATCTGTTTGGAACAGGACACATGGCTAGTTGTTGAGCTGTGGACTGTCTGCTATAGAGACTTTGCTGGGCATCGGTGTCCGTGTTTGAACCCTCTGAAAGCAGGATTGAACACTAACCCTGACGGGACGTACAGTATGTATACAGGCGGCCCTTTGGATATTTCCCACCACTTGGAACTCTGGGCACAATCTCTAATATTTTTTTTGGAACTAGGAAAAGTGAATGGTGTGTTTGTGATCAATGTTGGGTGGACTTGGAAGTGATTAACACGTCACGGGTGGTATACACAGCTTGGAAATAATTTTTTTTGTGTGGTCTTTTCATGATTTAATTATTGATTTAATTGAATTGACATTTATTTTTTTGTACATTGTTGTTTATTTTATTTAGTTGTACTTGAGGATATATGATGAAGGGGTAATTGATTTAACATATGTAGTGGATGTTTTGAACTATATTTAACACTTGTTATACCAGCGCGGTGCAATAGAATTAAAATAATTTACACATTTATTGTTGGCACGGCAGCGATAATTACCATAGATATACACTTTTATTTGGGTATACTCCCATAGCGCAGATATTTCATAACACAACACTATCTACAGTTTCTCTTGTTTGGTAGTCTGTACTGTTCAAAAGTAGCTCTGCCTGTGCATTTTAGCTGTAGTTTTTATTAAAATAGTCACTTTGACATATAGCAGAGTCATCTCCTTAACAGGCATGTAGACTGTATTTAAATGCTTGACTGGGGGATCTAATGCTTCCCTACTTATAAAAAAAAGAAAAACTAAAAAAAAAAAAAAAAGGTTTGGTCAGAAAAAAAGTTTGACTGGGGGAATTAATTGTTCCCCACTTAAAAAAAAAAAAAAAAAAAAAAAAAAAAAAAAAAGGTTTGGTTAGCGTTGGCCTTTATGCATTGTATGATTTCCTACTTCTTGGGACTACAGACAAAAAACATGCAACCAGATTTATTTGGATTGTGGGCTGCCATTGTTTTTGTCCCCTAGATGGCAGCAGTTGACTATAGTAACCTCCGGTGTCTAATACTCAGGTCTTTTGTCCCATGGCCTTTGAATTTTCCTAACTTTAAAGTGTATTTCCACGTTTGCACCACAATTTTAAACCCCAGTATCTTGTCATGTGTTCCCAATCACACAGCATGACTAAAAATAATGTAAAAAAAATCTTACCTTATCTTTTTTGTTTTTTTTTAAGCAAGTTTATACACAGGACTTTAGAAGCAGCTTGAATTGTTCAGAATACCTTGCTGAACCATACACTACAGGGACACTTTAGGGATACTTTTTTAAAAGTGCATTAACATACAATGTGCCACCCAAATCTAGATTGTTTTTTAACCCTTTATTAAGACAGTGTGCACATCTAGTATAAAACTGATAATATAGTTCTGCCTGCACCGTACAGACAGGGTTAATTATGTTTAAACACAACTCACCAGCCCCCTCCTTAACATTACATAGAAGGGGAAAGCTAAGTAAGATTCTGATATGGTTTTTCAGCAATTTAAAAGGTAATCAGCATTTTTTTAAACTTATGCTATGTAAATGGGAACATAAAACAAATATAAAGTGGCTGTTATTCCAACTTGGCAGCAAAGGTAGAACACTTGAACTTTCTGGATTTCTGGCTTAGATGTAGAATGTATGAATGGAAACATTTACATTAACAGGTAGACATTCACTGAAATTGTACAATACAAATGTTTCTTTGATGTAAAAATGTGCCCTCTTTACTTTGTTCATACAGTTCTATGTTAAGCAATCCTGTATTTCCGGTCTGGCTTCCTTTGGCTGAGTGGACAGGACTTTGCCCAAAAGTGTTAAGTTTACCTGTCATGAGAAAAATAATTGGAATGCCATTGCTGACCTCCACCTAAAACAATTGGCCTGGCTTTAATGCTTCTGAGTTACAGACATGGAACAAGCATGCAGCAAATGACAAGGAAAAGTCAAATTCCTTATTGCTATGCTTGTTCCAGTGACACAGGAAATACAGAAGTCAGAACGTCAGCTTGACAGCCAAACAACTACCGTTTTCAGTATGTGAGGCAGGCCACATAATTCGCTCATGACATGTTTTCTTGAAGGGCCTAACTGACTGAACTAGAGTGATGACATATTTGTATCCTTGTTCAGCTAATCCTATCTTTTACTATTAGAATAGCATGCACTTTGCTGCTGTTCATGGGTCAAACAAGGGCAAAGAGCCCACATGAAAGTTTTATCAGGGACCCAATTCTTGGCTCCTATAGCTGGCAGTGGTACCCATGCAGCATTTCAGGGGCTATGAATGGCAGACTATAATTACTAGCACGTTATATGCCAATAAATCCCTAACATCCATTGGCAACGCTAGAAGATTTGAAATGTTTAACAGGTGCTCTGCCTTTCGTTGCCCTGCCTTTGTGCCTGCCCCAACCACTTTCTCCATAATAATGTATTAATGTCACTCTACAATGAGAGTGTGTACCCATGTTGTACACAACTCTCTTGTAAGCTTATCTCCTGCCCAGTATCTGCACTTTAGACAATCCACCACCCCATGCCTGTCAAGGATATACAGTATGAGTGCTAATCAGACAAGGATCTTTTTGCGTTTTTTGTCCATCACTGACCTCCATATGGATGTAGTTGCTGGCTTTTGTTTCTGGTGTGAATTACTTGCATGTGGAGACCAGGTAATTCAACACTTTCTCACAATTAAAGTGAAAGCACTATATCAAAGGTGGAACTACAAGTTCCATGAGGAATTGCAAGACTGTGAATGCCACAGGCATGACTCATAGAGGCTGATGCATTATGGGATTTTCAGTTTAGCAGCAGCTGGAGTGCCGAGGTTGCCTACCCCTGCACTATGTATTTACAAATTGTAACATGTTACAGATTGCAATGTTAATTTTTGGCCCTATCTTGGAAGTCAGGACTGTTGTACAAGCAGCCTTGTTTTCTGGATGTCATTGAACAGCCCTAACTATTGGGAAATGATAAGGAGCCAAACAGCATGGCTCCTTCTATTGCCAACGTGCTAATTCCACCTGAACATGCTTGAAGTTTAAAGTTTTTTTGTGTGTGATGTCAGTATCAAGCATTGCAACAGTTGTGGTCAATTAGCTAAATTTTATAGGCATGTGTGTTCCCTGACTGCTCTTGTAGACTACATTTTAGAGCTCCTTTGTGTGCTCCCTGACTCTCCTCGCAACCCGTAAAGATAATTTCCTCTCATTCTAAAAAAGAAAATAAGAGGAAATAAGAAACTGTAATGAGAGCAGTGCACCAGGACACCCTGCGCTCAAAGGCCCTTCTTACTTATAGGCTGGTGTTCTGGGAACACCATCTCTTTCTCAGTTCAGATATGTTACACTGCTAATTACTTGGGGTTGGATGTACAAAATACAATAAATAAAAACATCTTCAACATGATCTTGGTTCATATGTGAAAGATTTGTTTTGTGATGACACCCTACTAACAGGCTACTAACTCCACATTCTCAGAAAACACATTGTAAGCAAAATACCTGGAAAATCCAATTTCTGCACATACAGCTTTTGCTCTGGCAATGTCAAAACCATCAGCACATATATAGCTCCAAGTTCCTGTGGATGCCAAGATCTGTAGGATGGAGCCAACATCTGAAAGCCTAACTGTAAAGCAAGAGTAGAAAATAAGATGTGTTGCAATACAGAAATATTCATTGCACCATGTTAATCATAGACCGAAGTAGAGTTAATTTTGGTAGAGCACTGGTCCCAATAGTACACATGGTCTGGTATGATCCCTAGTCTCAAGAGGCAGCTCCCCATCTCAGTGATATCCCATGGGTCACCGAAGTGATCCAAAGAACATGTGAAGAGGAAGAGTACACAAATAAATTATTAGTCCACATAGATTTATTAATCTTGATTAAAGGTAAATAGATAACAGCCAATGTATTTCAGGGAATCTCAGTTGCCCCTTCCTCAGGGCTCTAACTGGTGGTGATTGATGAGAAGACTAGATAGTAGGGATGCACTGATACCGATACTGGTATCAGTGCCAATACTGAGCATTTGGGGCGAGTACTCGCCCAAATGCTCCGATACGTACCCCAATCCCAGAATGCAGTGCTGCGAGGGAGCATGGATCAGGCTTCCCAGCCAATCAGGAAGGCGGGCAGTAAGTCATGACCCACCTACCGGCTTTCTCGTCGACTAGGAAGCCGGCTTCATACTGCCTGGCGACACTGATTGGTCAGAAAGCCACGCTGCCTTGCAGTGTCGCAAAGGGAGCGTAAAGCCAATGTTCTTTCGATAGAACACTGGCTTCCTGATTAGCCAGGCCCACGGTACCTCGGGATGCCGGCATCAGTATTAGGTATTGCAAGTAACGAGAAAAAAATAACGGTACTCATATTCCATATGGAAATACCAGTATCGGTGCATCCCTACTAGGCAGCATGAACAAAAAAATCCATGCCTGACAGAATATTTAATTTTTTTGCTCATACTATCCAGTATTCTCATCAATCACCACCAGTTAAAGCACTGGAAGGGGGAGTTGAGGTCCTCAGACACGTTGGCTGTTATCTATTGACTTTTTATTAAGATTAATAAATCTATAGTGGACTATTCATTTATTTGTGGTGCTCTCACTTCATCACACGATCTATAGACATAAGCAGGATGCTAAATGTAAAAAATGAGGTAAAGATTTCTTACCATGTGGAAAAGATCTACATTTTGTCAAAAGCTTTTCATTTTCAACTTAAAAGGGATATATTCTGTATATTGAAATGTTTATGATTACTGTGCATATTTAACTGCCACCAGTTATCTATTTATTTATTTCTTGCAGTTATTTATATAGTGCCAGCAATTTATGCAGCACTTTACATACTGTACACTCACATCAGTCACCGCCCTCAAGGATCTTACAATGCAAGGTCCCTATCTCACATACACACATTCTGGGGACAATTTAGATAGCAGCTGATTAACCAATCAACGTGTATTTGGATGGTGGGAGGAAACCGGAGTACCCGGAAGAAAATCCTGACCAGGAGTAACACTCACCAATGGAAGTGTTGCTGGAGTTTACTCGCTGCACACATTGCAATTCATCTTCACCGCCAGTACAATCCTCCTTACCATCACACCATTTGTCCAAAGGAATAAATTTAAATGACTTCATGCAGAAGAAGTAGTAATTATCAATGACCACTTTAACTGAAAGGAAATGGAAAATTATTCATTTAAGCTTTATCATATGTAGTTTGAGTAACTGTGAGAAAGGGGTCATCTGATGCAAAATGATAGATGAGATGTATTTGTTTTAAAGGCAAGAGTAAAATTGTAGAGCCATACTGTGCACAAAGTAAGACATTTTAAAACCAGGCTCCAGCCAAACTTTAATTTGTTTTGGATACAGTGAGAAATGAGCATGCTCCTGCTGAGACCCTCCACATCTGCCCCTGCTGAGACCCTCCACATCTGCCCCTGCTGCAAACCTGCACATCTGCCTTTGCAGAGACGCTCCACATCTGTCACCTGAGACATCAGACCATCACCCTGGAGCGGTGCAGCAGCAGAGTATGTAGCAAATTCATATACTATGCTGCTTTGCTGAAAAATGTATTGCTGGGATTTGTAATCCTCTATAGCTGATGGTATTATTCTGCATTGCTGTATATTGTATCGCTAGGATTTGTAGTTGTCTATAGCTGATGGTATTCTTCATCGTTGTACAATTTATTGCTGAGATTTGTAGTCCCCTAAAGCTGCCTGCCATTCAGCATAGCTGTATAATGTATTGCTGGGCTTTGTAGTCCTCTATAGCCAGTTACCATTCCTTATTGCTGTATAATGTATTGCTGGGATTTGTAGTCCTCTATAGCTGATGGTATTGCTGGGATTTGTAGTCCTTTATAGCTGATGGTATTATCTGCATTGCTGTATTAGTATTTCTAGGATTTGTAGTCCTGGTGCGCGACCAGGCCCTGGTGCTCCACCAGTGTCCTAAAATCATTTGAGTCCATATTGATTGTGTTCCTCACTGGACAGCATTGCTCTTAAGTGTACGTCAAGTCAAAAACGTTTCTCTGGTATTTGACTGAGGAAGGATTAGAACCACTGTTTGGTTTTTAATGGAATCTCATGCTGGATTAGGGACATGTATCTTCACTTCCAGTCCTGCTGATCACAGCACCTTCCAGGAAGGAAGGAAGGAAAATTCTGCAACAGGGGCGCAGACAGGATTAAAATCTGATAGCAGTTCTAGCCTCCCCTTACTCCACTAAATAAAAACATTTTATTCCTGCCTTTGCTGCTGTTGGAGAGTCCCCCTCACATCCTGTCTTTTAAAAAGTTGCCAGCAGAAAAGGAAATGAAGGTATATCTCTCCAACAGCATCCGGGATAGCAATAAAACCCAGACAAGGGTACTAAGCTTTCTACACTCTTTCCAAAACCAAGAAAAATGTTTTGGCCTAATGTAAACTTAAAACCATAAATTATAGTGCAAACAATGTGATGTCGCTTTAACAGATATTAGGAATGCAGCTACTCCAAGGTGCTGATGTATAATCATTCTGTCCAGCTTATAGCTGGGTAAATGTAGTTTGCTTGGCATTCCCACCACTAGTTGGGGCCGAGGAGCATAGGCAATTCCTTTGCTCCCCGGCCCCATCTAGTGCCAGGAGTGCCATGCAAATGGCATTCACCCAGCTTTATACTGAGCAGAGTATTTATACATCAGCCCCTAAGACTAGGCTATAGGTATATATCAGAGTGCTGCCTACAACACAGAAAATATGTATTTCTGCACTTACTCAGTATACCTATGACCACAAGTGAAGCCACCACCAGAACGGCGGTTGTTACGGGAACACAGTATCTTCTGAGAGTTGATACTTTCGCAGGCTTGTAATGTACATGAGGCGGTCTAGGCCCAGGTCTCGGAGCACCTCGAGGAGGACCAGGATTTCTAGGAGGACCTACGGGCCTAGCGACAGGAGGTCTGGTAACAGCAACTGGAACACTGGCAGGTCCCGGACCAGGATTTCTAGGAGGACCTACGGGCCTAGCGACAGGAGGTCTGGTAACAGCAACTGGAACACTGGCAGGTCCCGGACCAGGATTTCTAGGAGGACCTACGGGCCTAGGGACAGGAGGTCTGGTAACAGCAGCTGGAACACTGGCAGGTCCCGGACCAGGATTTCTGGGAGGACCTACGAGGCTAGGGACAAGAGGTCTGGTAACAGCAGCTGGAACACTGGCAGGTCCCGGACCAGGATTTCTGGGAGGACCTACGAGGCTAGGGACAAGAGGTCTGGTAACAGCAGCTGGAACACTGGCAGGTCCCGGAGGAGCACGAGTGGGTCCTGGAGTTCTAGGATCAGTAGTCCCAGGAGGGTTGGCAGCAGGTTGTGATATTCTTGCTGGTTGCGGTGTATTTCCTGTGGCTTCAGTGGCACCTGAAAGAGCAATGTACGGTGTGACTGAAAAAGACTGAGAAAGGTAGATTAAAGAGAAACTATGGGCAATATAAAAAAATAACATTTAGGATGCAGTCTCTTAATAGAATTAACACTGCAGGTCTTCTTTCTGAGTCTCCCTGTATCAGTTTTATTATCAGTTATTCCTGCCTGTACAGCCATTATTTTATAGGGCTGGGACAAACCACATTTCACTGGTGGGGGTGCTTACAACCAGGGTAGCCATCAGAAACTTTGGGGCCCCTTGCACAGCTTTAGTCCTGGGCCCCCTACCCCCCAACACACAATAGGCCTGTCCACTGACTGTCCCACCGGGTCCTTCAGTGCACCCACTTTTATTTTAACACTCTTACAACTTAATATATAAAGAATTGCACTTAATTAAAAAGTGTATTCCAAGGCATTCAATACTGAAGAGTAGGGAAATATATTTTGGCCGAAAAATATGTTGAGCAGGACCCTATACTAACACTAACTACACTTCCTTTCACTAACACGAACCGCACTCCCTTTCCACTAACACTAACTGCACTACATATTCACGAAAAACAACAACAACTGGGCTGTACAAGCTCGCAGGTGGCTCTCAGGTGGGTTCTGGGCACTGTGGGGGCTCTCAAGTATACTGCAAGCTCTTTGGGGGCTGTGTGTGGGCTCTCAGGTGCAGGTGGACTGCAGGCTCTGTGCAGGCTGTGTGCGGGATCTCCCTCCCTACCCCCATCGTCGGGCTGCTAAAACACTTACCTTACCACTAGAGCAACTCTGGTCCACTCCCTGATCCCTCTTTGGTGAAGCCTTCTACAGACCAAGCACCGGCTCCTGTATGTACAGGAAGGTACCAACTTACGGGGGGGTGGCGTGGAAAACACTGATCCAGTCACGTCAGTGTTTGTACAGAGGAGCTTACACTCTAATGTACATCTACAGTCTCACACTATTTTTATACATTTATATAGATCTGACATATACCACAGTGCTGTACAGCTGTACAGAGAACACTGAGCCAGTCACATTAGTTTCTGCACAGAGGAGCTTACACTCTAATGCAGAAAGGCACCGGCTGTAGGGGGACTACAAATGCCAGTAGTACATTATACAGAAATGCAGAACAGTGTATTAATCGGACTAAGTAAGTGGTCTCAGGACTTAGTAACGCACTGGACTCAGGACTTTGCAACGCATTGTACTCAGGACTTTGCAACGCACTGGACTCAGGACTTTGCAACGCACTGGACTCAGGACTTTGCAACGCACTGGACTCAGGACTCCTGATGGCGGCCCTGCTCCCAACTGTCACTTTATTTATATAGCTTAACACTTTTTGCCAGATGAAAACTTTTCTCCAGCCTCTTGCTGTAACTGCTTAACCACTTGAGGACTGGCATGTTAAACGCCCTTCCTGTCTAGGTCATTTTTCAGGTTTCAGCGCACTGATAGTTTATCTCACAATTACTTATCAATAGTTGAGATAAGATATTCATATTGTCAATGCTTTGTTTTCAGTGAGTTGTCCATCTCATAAACCTAACACCAATTGATAAGATAATTTACATCAGGCTTATCTCTATTAGGTGTATAAAAACACTTACTTGGTCATGCATTATGGCCATTAAACAGAGCTGAGGAGCACATGAATTTCCTATGCTCCTCGGCTCCATCTAGTGGCCATAATGCGGTGCAAATGTAAAAGTCAGATTTTTGCAGAAGTAATGGCTCTGTGAATGTTTTATATATATACAGTATATATATATATTCCCCACAGCCATAATAAAACACCAGCTTCCATGAAATATTCCCTCGGAATAATCCATATACACTTCAATAAACCTCAGACTGTATTTACTGTATCTATTTTTGCCATATTTATTTAAAGGGAATGCATAATCTTTAACGTGTTTTTATACACTTAATAGAGGTAAGCCTGATGTAAATAATCTTATCAATTTGTGTCAAGTCTATGAGATATAAAACTCACTAAAAAAAAAGCCATTGGCAGTACACATATCTAATCTCAACTATTGTTAAGAAAAGAGTCAGAGTGATTACAAGCTGAGTATTTGCTCACGTTATTATCTCATCTAGATTTTCCAATATTTAATACAAGAATCAAAATATGGAAACATTTGGAAGAGCAAGCATGCAAATACGTGTAAGTCACAAGTATTTGACAATTGAAAAATGATACTTTGCCATTATCATACAATAATTTGTGTCATATTTCTATATAATGGCACTTGGGGCATGTCATATCATACATGGGGCACTGTGGTAGGGCTGCAGAACATATCATTGCAGGTACTGTTCTCCCAGGCTGCAGTGTGGTCCCCACTAAGTGCTAGCCATTCTGTACAAGTTGTGGCGTTATTACCTCCTGGTTTGTTCAGTGTCCTTTACAGCTCTTTCACCACCCTACCCAATTTATATTTTGGGTAATTTATCTGCTCTATCCAGTGTGCTCTGTTTGCTTAATTTGGCACTTGTGGAAATGTTTGCAGGAAGGTCCCTGTAGCCAGTTTACCCACAGGATTGCCTTAAAGTGGAGCTGAAAGGGGGTTTCACTAAAAATCACATTGTCATGCTACTGTGCATGCTGATATGAAATCATTTTACATTCATTAGTCAAATAAAACATTTTCTGCTTTTACTTATAATTACAGTTTTTTTTCCATTTCCTGGTTGAGTGAGGCACTGGTGATGTAGTCCTGGCCTCACAGATTCATCACCAGTGCCTTTCTGGGAAATCTCATCTGTAAACTGCAAAATCTCACGAGATCTCAGGGGCAAACATTTTTTTCTCCCTCGGATGATGTGAACTGTTACCTGGAGGCAGACCCAGAATTCTAGGAAGTAAAGGGAGATAAATTAACCTGCCCTTAGTGAAAATGGCCACCGTGTGAAGAATGGGGAGGAAAAGAAAAATAAGGTAGGGAAAGAATACAAAGCCTGCAATTATCTATACTATACTTACCTGTTTGTAGATTGTCATTACTAAACATTACTAAAGGTGCATTTGTTGTAATTTTTAAGAAAGGGTGTTGTTCCTCTTTAATAAGCAATTTTTTTAACCTCTTGCCGTCCGCCCGTAGTAAAAAAACGGACGAGAAGTCCAGAAGGGAAATCACACAGGGCTGGCAATACTGCTAACAGGCAAATACTTCACATTAATAATGACATTTAAATGACTAAACACATTTCATTTGCATTGCATAGTACCTGAGATTTGAGATATTAGTACACGTGGCAATTAAAACAATTAAAATGCTATCGGTGTCAATTCTCTCTATGCCACATTTGAAATCCTATTATTTACAATACACTGCATGGCTGAACTTTATCTGTGAATAATTGAAATCTGAATAGCCCTTTGTGTTTAACCATAACATAATTACAGAAGTTCACACCCTAACTGAGAACAGACAAGGATCTTTGAGGTTCCTGCCATTGGTTTACACTTGTTCTTACCTGCAGTGTTCAGAGGAGACGCACTGTTTACCTCTTCCTCTGCTGGATTCTGTAAAGACATTACAAGAATAGATAAGAGAATACCTACAGCGATTCACATGGTAGCAGATTATCTGTGACCAATTAGCCATTCTAAGAGTTCATTCACATCAGTCCCATTGGGCTGTGTTGGGCAGTGTTGCCCAACACAGCCCCAATGCATGGGCAATGCAATTTGCACTGAAAAATAGTAGGATGAGTTGCCTTTTTGTGCAGTGGGTTGTGATGTGCTATAATGCATCACGTTCAGAGCCATACATTCGTTCCTATAAACGCTGTAATGTGCATGAAGATCCATGCAGCTGCAGCCTGCCATTCATTTTAACAGGAAGCTGCAAGGAAGACCTATGTCTCCCCGAGTACATAAACACGGCCCCCTGCACAGATGTATGAATCCATTAATGTTTGTGAATAAGCCATTATAATGCATCGCAGTGGGTGTGCACAATGCACACCAGCAGTCACATGTCACAGGAATTGTCTACAACCAACCTGCCCAATCCTTTCAGGGTCACTCAAGTTGACTTTTAGGGTCTTGTTGGCTATCAGAGATGCCAAAGGTTGGCCAGATTGTACCTGCATGTGTATGCCTCACTGTCTATTGCCATCATATGGCGTACCTGTGCTTTGCATGTTCAGGTAAAGCAACAAAATTGTTTTAATACCCATAACCCCCCAGGTAATATACTTACCTTTCTTTGCCTCTCCCACTGTTCCATTCAGTGATGGGAATGGAAGTATATACAACTTCCAGGTATGGAGGAGCATGCGACCCACTCCACGTGATAGTGTTGGACCAATCAGTGCAACTTAGAGCTTACATTGGGCTTGCCTTCCCTCCTTGTAGCTGAGCAGAGCAACAGGGAAGAACAGGTAAGCATATAATGGTAAAGGCTAAATAAAGATCCTGTTGTTTTGCCTTGTGCAGGTAAAGCCCAGGGTTACTTTAACCACTTGAAGGCCATAGTGTTTCACCCCCTTCCTGGCCAGGCCATTTTTCAGTATTCAGCGCTGCGGTACTTTGACTGATGTTTATTCCGTCATGCAACGCTTTACTGAAACGATTTTCATACCATTTTTTGGGGACAGATAGAGCTTTCTTTTGGTGGCTTTTATTCACCAATGGGGTTTTTATTTTTTACTATATAACAAAAAAAGTACCCTAAATTTTGAAAAAAAACATGTTTCCCTATAAAATGTTATGAAACATTTTTTTTCACCCCAATTTTTTGGTAAAATATAAAAGTCGGGGTCACGTCGGGTAAATAGACACTAAACATGTCAACCTTTAATATTGCGCGTGCCCGCAAAATCGCAGAAAACGACCGCAGCCAAAATTGGTCATAGGCGACGCTTTAAACGTTTTTACCGCTCATCAGTTTAGTGTCATCAGTGATTGATGGCCCTAGAATTATTGTTCTCACTGCGACGTTCGCGGCGATATGTAACATGTGCTGCATAATGGGCGCAATCGTCGGTTTCGTACATAGGCGCACCCGACGCATGTTTGTGCGTGCATCTGGGGGGCGGGGGACTTTAAAAAAATGTTTGTGTTATTTTTTTTTATTTTTTTTAGCTTCTTTATTTTTTTTAGCTTCTTTATTTTTTTTAATGCTGTAATTTTTTTTTTTTGACTTAACTTTATTGCTATAACATAGGGGACTAAGGAATCCCCTATGTAATAGCCAGTTCACCAAACAGGTCCTCTTTATGGAGACATCAGGGGTCTCAAGACCTCTGATGTCACCTAGGGACCCCCACAGAAGCTGATGAAGCACAGATCTGCTCCATCAGCTTCTCTCCGGTGTTCTGCACCGGAGAGTGACACTGAATGCAGGAAGTGATGTAATATACATCACTTCCTGCATTCGGGGACAAGAAGAGAGATCAAAGGGATGATCAAGTAATGATCATCCCTTTGATCTCCTGTTAGAGCGTCGCCGTGCCGGTCCCAGCCGCACCGGCCACATCGGAACACGGGACCGGCAGCGGCGGCGAAGAGACGAGCAGGAGGAGGTACGGGGGGGGCGGGGCGGCGCACACCCGCAGATCCTGCAAGCGATCGGGCGTCTCTAGAGACGCCTGACCGCTTGTATGTAAACAGCCATCGCTGGCTGTTTACATGCTGACGGTTTTCCCTCTCGTGTGCGGCGCTCAGCGCGGACACGAGAGGGGGGAGGGGCAGGACGTCTTAAGACGCCCTCCCGCTCTGAGCAGACGTCCATCTGGCCGTTCACAAACGGCCATGGACGTAAGGTAGTTAAAGTCAAGTATATTAGATACACTTCATTTGATATATAATCTGACAGCCAAGCAACCTCCGTGGCTTTTGGCAGACATACTGGATAAACGTGTCACTCTTTTGTACAAGCCTATGCATGAAGTAGGCGCCACTGGCACAGCTTTAGTTTTGAGATCAGCAACAATCAGAAAATCCACTATAGCGATCTAGGTTTTCCCCAGAAAACAAACAGCAATGGGATTGTGTTCTAATGTGAATGTGCCCATAAACATATCGATATGGCACAATCAGCTACATGTGATCACAATGGCCAAAAATAATCCATTGTATGAATAATAGACATGTTCGATTCGTTTCGTTACGAATCGAAATTCGTACGAATTTTCCTGAAATTCGTAAATTCGGAAGCATCCGAAATCTGAATTGCAGTTTCCGAATTATATCCGAAATACGAAATTCGGATCCGGAATCCGTTAATGGAATTCGTATTTCGTTTGGTTGACCAATCAGAGACTTTCTCTTCTGCTGCTGAGAGTTGCATTACAATACAGGCAGGAAATACGAAATTCCGTTGATGGAATTTCGTTCTGTTACGAACATTCGTTATATTGAAGTTAAAAAGCAAAATACCTTTGCTAATATATTGGAGTTGATGGTAGTTTTTTTTATCTGAAATACGAAATTCGGATCCGGAATCCGTTAACGGAATTCGTATTTCGGATAAAAAAACAACTACCACATCGACTCCTATATTAACAAGATATTTTTGCTTTTTAACTTCATCATAACGAATGTTCGTATAGTTACAAAAATGTGCCGAAACTAACGAAAGTTCGTATTTCGTACGAATCCGAATTGAGTTTCAATACGAAATAACGGATATTCCGAAACGGAACAAATTTTTCGACGGCGCACAAGTCTAATGAATAACAAAAAGTGACCCTGTCTTGAGGAATTATATTGGCTGCCATTGATGGTCCTCTTATTAAAATGCTAGTTGCTTGGCTTGAATACTTTTAAGCCACAGACCCACATCAAGCATGCTCTAAGTGAGTGTCAGAATTCCCTATTGTTATACTTGTTCTGGGTCAGTGACTTGGTAAAAATTGAAGCCAAAGCTTCATAAAGACAGTCAGGGTGTATCCAAACCCAAAACTTCAAGCTGAGCCTGACATTCACTACTGTACTGATTTCACTGTCTACTATGAGCTTCTCATTAAATGCTGTAGCAAGTCAGAGAGAGGCTGTATCATTCTGGGCTGGAGGACATCCAGCCTCATCTACCCTGTTTAGGATCACATGTGGGTGTTACCTAGGGCAGTCTACATGCAAAGGCAGCCTGCCTAGGAACAACCTTTCCTCCAGACTAACATTAACCCATCAAGGCATTTTGATATTTGTACAACTCCTCCCAAGTGCCAGCCCACTGCTTGTATCAGGGTGATTACCTGGGTGGCCATGTTCAGTCCTCCACTGTATATAGGGGGAGCCATGGTTGTCACCCAAGCTGTTTGCCTTTGTTCATCTCCATTACATGGGGGTTATTTATTTACACAAGAAAGATAACATTGTTTTTTGCTTCCAGTTAAGCTCACAGGAAGTGACAGAGACACTGGATTTCTGGCAGGATCAGCAGTCTAGTAAGAATAGTAAGCTGAAATAAATTACATTTGTGTCCTTGGGTTTAGATACATTATAACAGCTTATTCACCTGTGCAGTTTGTTACCTTCCTTACCTAAAAAAGCACAAATACCCCTATTACATTTAGTAGCATCAAAATATCTAGCCAAGAGCTTTTTTTTTAAAAGTTTTGGATGGAGTAGAAATGGGTTAGAACCCATATGAGGTTTGTATTGCTCTTTTTCTACTGGAAAGATTCCCTTTCTCTGTTTGTCCTGAAAGCATTGTCCCTGACCATGGCACAGGTGAACTATTCTTCCTATGGAGGAAGTGGATATTGATGGAATTTGACCAAATTTGAACCTGGGAAAAGGATTGAATCACCTATTCTTTTTTCAGAAGTATGAATGTATATTTGGTTCAATTCACTAAGCTTTAACACTTGTTATTTTCAGCAATGTGATTGTTACAGCTCAGCGACTCAAGCATATTGTCCTTTCTGACCAGAAGCTAAGCGATATCAGCAGCATTACACTTGTGGAACAGCCAGCTGTATGGGGTGTGCCAATCATCCTGAGGATGAACCGCAATAGGAAGCGATAAGAGTACTCCTCCTTTAAGTGAACCTATTACCTATTTAAACTTTTAAAAGTATTGCCTAACAAAAGCTACTACAAGATTAGCCAGAAAACACTAAATATTCTTAGGATTTTCTGTTTGAGTTGATTTTTACATTCAGGGGAAAGACCCGCACACTTCCCTACAGGCCACAGACAATCTGGATGCTCTGCATTGACTTCCTTCTTTAGGAACAATGATGTATAGATGTTCACCCCTAGTCTGATGGCCAGCATTATTCAACACACTTCCTGTGAGCCCAGGTTGCCCTAGACCGCGCCCCAGCCTATGACTGGACATTCAAAGAAGTGGCACAGTGACAAATGCTTATTTTTACCCCTGCCTTTTCCTTTCTATGGGATTTCCCAAATGAAAAATACAATAATTTACAGCAGGGGTAGCCAAACTGCAACCCTCCAGCTATTGTGGAACTACAGGTCCCATAAGGGATTACAAGACTGACAGCCACAGACATGACTTCCAGAGACAGAAACATAATGGCATTTGCAGTTTCACCACAACTGGAGGG